ATATAAGCAAAGTAAATAAATAAATAAATAATAAAGACAAATATCACTTAAGTAAAATTAAATATTAAATATTAAATAACCAGAAAAATAAGGTGTAAACACTAAACTAATCTGGGAATTTGCTATTGCAACACGTCCAATGAAGTGGTTTAAAACCAGTATTAAAAAAAAGATTAGGACTATGTACGTTCCAGTCTACTTGGAATACACGAAGCTCATTCCAGAAGCACTCAGCCAGGTCAGTGGAAGTGGTATCAAACCTCTTTAATTGTACCGTGTAGATGCACCCTCCACTTGCATTTCCCAAGCCTGCTTGGTCATCCCTTCAGCATCATCAGACAGGGATGGATCAGGTTGTCATTATAATGCCTTACTTTTTGGTCTTGTGTGTATCTCTATACTACAGAATGGAATCAGCTTGACTTTGCTTTCACTGCCAGAAGATGTTTAACTGCAACACGTCAGTGATCAAAGAGGAACCAGGAGAAGACCTTGATGTCACCCCAGCTGGGAGAAGCGGTGGCGGACCCCGGGAAATATCTGGGGAGAAGACCCCCAAAGAAGACGCTCTTGGTCCCGATGTACAACCAGAGCAATGCAAAAAGGAACCAGGAGAAGACCTTGATGTTGCCCCGGCTGGGAGAAGGGATGGAGGACACCGGGAAATTGCTGGGGAGGAGATCCCCCTTGATGACACTCTTGGCCCCAATGTACAGCCAGAGCAATGCAAAAAGGAACCAGGAGAAGACATTGATGTCACCGCGACTGGGAGAAGCAATGGAGGACCCTGGGAAATAGCTGGGGAGAAGATCCCCGAGGAGGACGCCCTTGGCTCCGATGTACAGCCAGAGCAATGTAAAAAGGAACCAGGAGAAGACCTTGATGTCAACCCGGCTGGGAGAAGGAATGGAGGACCCCGGGAAATAGCTGGGGAGAAGACCCCCCTGGAGGACACTCTTGGCCCCAATGTACAACCAGAACAATGCAAAGTAAACGCAGCAGGAGAAGCCAATGACGTTGACCCGGACACCAAGCAGGGAGCACCCCTCCGGTGGGTGGTGAAGGAGGAGGGCAACGGGAGCGCAACGGTGCTGAGCGAAAACGAGTGGAGCCTGCTTCCTCTTCGTCCCTCTTTCTCAGGTATCCCAAAGCCTGTCATTTCCATCTCCCTTTCCTTAGGTTAAGGAGGGAGTGTGGCTGTATTTGGGGGAAGGCAATTTGGGTGGATTGGACCTGTTAGGGGTACAATACTTCTGGTAGACAACACAAAATGTGTCACACCAAATATTATTGATTTGAGTCTACTGGGAGGAGGCTGATAGCCATGCAGTGGGTGGCTTTCACAGTGTTCAACCTTATTTCTCTCACATTTAGCAGCAACTTCCCGTCGCACATTGGGGGGCAATGCCAGCTAGCTTGTAGTGTTTATCAACAGATGTAGGTTTAAGACATCCTGTGATTATTCTGCATGTTTCATTAAATGCTATGTTCTGTGAGCAGACTTGTGCCAAACAGGGCAGGCATACTCAGCAGTTGAGTAAGACAAGGCCAGGGCTGTTGTTCTTATGAATTTTGGGTCTGCACTCCATGCGATATTAGTAAGTTTCCTCAGGATGTTATCGCGTGCAGCTACTTTCTGCTTGGTGTTCATGTAGTGTTTCCTATATGTTAGTGTTCCATGTAAAGTGACACCAAGATATTTAGGATGGAAACTATGGTCAAACTCTTCACCTTCCCAGGTAACTTTCAAATTCCTGTTGGTTTCACGATTTTGTAGGTGGAAAGCACGCACGTGTGTCTTGGCAGGGTTAGGCTTCAGATGGTTATCTTGCAGTAGCTGGAGAGATCTTTCGGTGCATTAGCAAGTTGGATTTCAACTGTTTCAAAGTCTTTTGTTTGTATTAGCCATCTCAGATGAAGCCACAGGGAGGAGGGAGCAAGCTTGTTTACTGCTTCCATGGAGATTAGGACAAGGAACAATGGCTTCATACTACAAGAAAGGAGATTCCATCTGAACATGAGGAAGAACTTCCTGACTGTGAGAGCCGTTCAGCAGTGGAACTCTCTGCCCCAGTGTGGTGGAGGCTCCTTCTTTGGAAGCTTTTAAACAGAGGCTGGATGGCCATCTGTCAGGGGTGATTTGAATGCAATATTCCTGCTTCTTGGCAGAATGGGGTTGGACTGGATGGCCCAGGAGGTCTCTTCCAACTCTTTGATTCTATGATTCTATGATTGAGTGCGAACAAGTGGTGATAGTATTGGGATGGAAGGATAATCAAAGTGGACAATAAATAAATGATATCAGTATAAGGTAGATCAGGGGTCCACAAACTTTTTAAACAGCGGGCCAGGTCACAGTCCCTCAAACTGTTGGAGGGCCAGATTATCTTTGGAAAAAAAAAGATGAATTTCCATACACACTGCACATATCTTATTTGTAGTGCAAAAAAATTTAAAACAATACAATAATTAAAATGAATAACAATTTTAACAAATATAAACTTATTAGGATTTCAGTGTGAAGTGTGGACCTGCTTTTGGCTGATGAAATTGTTGTTGTTGTTGTTGTGTGCTTTCAAATAGTTTCAGACTTAGGTTAACCCTGAGCGAGGGCCGGGTAAATGACCTTCAAGGGCCGTATCCGGCCCCCGGGCCTTAGTTTGAGGACCCCTGAGGTAGATCAAAGGGAATTTGAAATTACGGCTGTAAAATTGAATAGTTCGAAAGGTAATGAAAATATACCACACCTGGAATGCTGTGGGCACCGCAATTGAAGGGAGATGTTGACTCTAAGCTGGAATGAGTCCAGAGAAGGGTGACTCAAAGGATCAATGGTCTGGTGAACAAACTCTATGAGGAGCTGCTTAAGAGCTGGGCATGTTTAGCCTGCAGAAGAGAAGGCCGGGAACATGATGAGGGCCATGTATACATATGTATGGGGAAGCCCTAGAGCGGAGAGAGCAGGCTTGTTTTCTTCTGCTGTGGAGGCTAGGACACAATGGAACAATGGCTTCAAACTACAGGAAAGGAGATTCTACCTGAAAATGAGGAAGAACTTCCTAACTGTGAGAGCTGTTCAGCATTGGAACTCTCTGCCCCGGAGTATGGTGGAGGCTCCTTTTTTGGAAGCTTTTAAGAGAGGTGGATGGCCATCTGTCGGGGTGCTTTGAATTCGATTTTCCTGCTTCTTGGCAGAATGAGGTTGGACTGGATGGCCCATGAGGTCTCTTCCAACTCTAGGATTCTATGAGTCTTGTAGGCTTCGAAGGTTGCTTCGTCAAATAGTCTGAATACGGTTTTGATTGTGGAAAACCATTTAGCTTCATTTTGAATTGTGTCCATTACAATAGAACCTCATATTACACAAGCGATCCATTCCAAGATCCTTCGTGTAACTAGCTTTGGCCCACTGACTATTAACAGGCTTCGGCCTATTCACTCTCCTCAGGACTATGCTAGCTTTGGCCCACTAACTCTAACAGGCTTCGGCCTGCTCACTCTCCTCAGGACGATGCTAGCTTTGGCCCACTGACTCTAACAGGCTTCGGCCAATTCACTCTCCTCAGGACTATGCTAGCTTTGGCCCACTGACTCTAACAGGCTTCGGCCTACTCACTCTCCTCAGGACTACGCTAGCTTTGGCCCACTGACTCTAACAGGCTTCGGCCTATTCACTCTTCTCAGGACTATGCTAGCTTTGGCCCACTGACTCTAACAGGCTTCGGCCTATTCACTCTCCTCAGGACTATGCTAGCTTTGGCCCACTGACTCTAACAGGCTTCGGCCTGTTCACTCTCCTCAGGACTATGCTAGCTTTGGCCCACTGACTCTAACAGGCTTCGGCCTATTCACTCTCCTCAGGACTATGCTAGCTTTGGCCCACTGACTCTAACAGGCTTCGGCCTATTCACTCTTCTCAGGACTATGCTAGCTTTGGCCCACTGACTCTAACAGGCTTCGGCCTATTCACTCTCCTCAGGACTATGCTAGCTTTGGCCCACTGACTCTAACAGGCTTCGGCCTATTCACTCTTCTCAGGACTATGCTAGCTTTGGCCCACTGACTCTAACAGGCTTCGGCCTATTCACTCTTCTCAGGACTACGCTAGCTTTGGCCCACTGACTCTAACAGGCTTCGGCCTATTCACTCTCCTCAGGACTACGCTAGCTTTGGCCCACTGACTCTAACAGGCTTCGGCCTATTCACTCTTCTCAGGACTATGCTAGCTTTGGCCCACTGACTCTAACAGGCTTCGGCCTATTCACTCTCCTCAGGACTATGCTAGCTTTGGCCCACTGACTCTAACAGGCTTCGGCCTATTCACTCTCCTCAGGACTATGCTAGCTTTGGCCCACTGACTCTAACAGGCTTCGGCCTATTCACTCTTCTCAGGACTATGCTAGCTTTGGCCCACTGACTCTAACAGGCTTCGGCCTATTCACTCTCCTCAGGACTATGCTAGCTTTGGCCCACTGACTCTAACAGGCTTCGGCCTATTCACTCTCCTCAGGACTATGCTAGCTTTGGCCCACTGACTCTAACAGGCTTCGGCCTATTCACTCTTCTCAGGACTATGCTAGCTTTGGCCCACTGACTCTAACAGGCTTCGGCCTATTCACTCTCCTCAGGACTATGCTAGCTTTGGCCCACTGACTCTAACAGGCTTCGGCCTATTCACTCTCCTCAGGACTATGCTAGCTTTGGCCCACTGACTCTAACAGGCTTCGGCCTATTCACTCTTCTCAGGACTATGCTAGCTTTGGCCCACTGACTCTAACAGGCTTCGGCCTATTCACTCTTCTCAGGACTACGCTAGCTTTGGCCCACTGACTCTAACAGGCTTCGGCCTATTCACTCTCCTCAGGACTACGCTAGCTTTGGCCCACTGACTCTAACAGGCTTCGGCCTATTCACTCTTCTCAGGACTATGCTAGCTTTGGCCCACTGACTCTAACAGGCTTCGGCCTATTCACTCTCCTCAGGACTATGCTAGCTTTGGCCCACTGACTCTAACAGGCTTCGGCCTATTCACTCTCCTCAGGACTATGCTAGCTTTGGCCCACTGACTCTAACAGGCTTCGGCCTATTCACTCTCCTCAGGACTATGCTAGCTTTGGCCCACTGACTCTAACAGGCTTCGGCCTGTTCACTCTCCTCAGGACTATGCTAGCTTTGGCCCACTGACTCTAACAGGCTTCGGCCTATTCACTCTCCTCAGGACTATGCTAGCTTTGGCCCACTGACTCTAACAGGCTTCGGCCTGTTCACTCTCCTCAGGACTATGCTAGCTTTGGCCCACTGACTCTAACAGGCTTCGGCCTATTCACTCTCCTCAGGACTATGCTAGCTTTGGCCCACTGACTCTAACAGGCTTCGGCCTATTCACTCTCCTCAGGACTATGCTAGCTTTGGCCCACTGACTCTAACAGGCTTCGGCCTATTCACTCTCCTCAGGACTATGCTAGCTTTGGCCCACTGACTCTAACAGGCTTCGGCCTGTTCACTCTCCTCAGGACTATGCTAGCTTTGGCCCACTGACTCTAACAGGCTTCGGCCTATTCACTCTCCTCAGGACTATGCTAGCTTTGGCCCACTGACTCTAACAGGCTTCGGCCTGTTCACTCTCCTCAGGACTATGCTAGCTTTGGCCCACTGACTCTAACAGGCTTCGGCCTATTCACTCTCCTCAGGACTATGCTAGCTTTGGCCCACTGACTCTAACAGGCTTCGGCCTGCTCACTCTCCTCAGGACTATGCTAGCTTTGGCCCACTGATCTAACAGGCTTCGGCCTACTCACACAGTGCCGCTAGCTTTGGCCCACTGACTATGACAGGCTTCGGCCTATTCATTCTCCTCGGGACGACACTAGCTTTGGCCCACTGACTCTAACAGGCTTCGGCCTGCTCACTCAGGATGATGCTAGCTTTGGCCCACTGACTATGACAGGCTTCGGCCTACTCACTCTCCTCAGGGAGACACTAGCTTTGGCCCACTGCCTCTAACAGGCTTCGGCCTACTCACTCTCCTCAGGACGATGCTAGCTTTGGCCCACTGACTCTAACAGGCTTCGGCCTACTCACACAGGATGCCGCTAGCTTTGGCCCACTGACTATGACAGGCTTCGGCCTATTCACTCTCC